AAAAAAAAAAAAAGACATTCTGGGGGCCCCTGGGTGGCTCAGTCGGTTAAGCAGCCAACTCTTGATTTCGGCTCAGGTCCTGATCTCAGGGTCATGAGATCAGGTCGGGCTCCACACTCAGCAGGGGTGTGGGGGGGGTCTCTCTCCCTCTGCTCCTCCCCCACTCGCACATGTGCAAGCTTACACACTCTCAAATCTTTTTTAAATAATAGACATTTTCGAGAGAACTGGGGAAATTATAGTATAGTCTGAGTATTTGATAGTGTTGATTAACTATTGTTAATTTTGTTAGATGAGACAGTGGCAGCAAACGAAAGCCCCTATCTGTTAGACATAGTGACAGTTTTATGGGTGAAATGCTTTGTCATATGCTCTGAAATCCTCTAGCACAGTTAAAGAGGCGGGGACAGATGGAAAATATTAGTAAGATATTGATTATCGAAGGTGGATGATGGATAGATACACAGAGGTTCATGGACTTATTTTCTTTTGTGTATTTTTAAATTCCCCCTAAAATTTTTATGTTTCTATGATTTTTTTTAATTCTCAGGATATAAAATCCAAGGTCTCCCCTTCTCTTAGCCCCCACCGTCCCCCCTCCAGCCCACCATCTGCCTCTTCCCACAGTTCAAGATTTGCTTGTGTGTAGAGTGACCACCTGTCCCAGCGTGCCTGTTTGCACCCACTGTCCCGTGTAATTACTGATAGGGCCCTCTGACTCTCAGAACGTTCTGTTTTGCACGATCAAATGTATGCTCGTCCTAGCAATATCGAATCATTTCCTTCATAGTCCTGTGCTTCACACGTATTTATCTTTAATAGATTTCCTTTGTCCAGAAGTCCCCCTCCTGCCCCCTGTGCTTTTCCTGATCGGATTCCTTCCCACTGGTGTTCCACATCTCAGCTCAGACATCCTCTCCCCAAGCCTTCCTGATGTTCCTCCTCTGCCCCGTCCCCCTCCAGCCCCCCGCCCGAGTTGGGTTGCCTGCCCTGTGCCGCCACACCACCCAGGCATGCTCTCCTGTACAACACTCAGTCACAGTGTGTTTACTGGGGGCGCCTGGGTGGCTCAGTCGTTAAGCATCTGCCTTTGGCTCAGGTCATGATCTCAGGGTCCTGGGATCGAGCCCTGCGTCGGGCTCCCTGCTCAGCAGGAGTCAGCTTTTCCCCCTCACTCTCCCTCTGTGCTCTCTCTCTCTCAAATAAATAAATAAAATCTTTTTTAAAAATAAAATAAAATGTGTCTACTGGTCTGTTTCCCAATTCAGTTGGCTTTTCAAGATCTGGGGGCACTGTCTCTTCACCTGTGAGTCTTTGGTGTCTAGCAGTGTCTGCCAAAATGTGGGATCAAGTCTTTGAGATTCTGTGACTTAACCCTTTCACACAGCTCACCCCTGGAAAGATAAATGCACCTCCCTAAGCTCACGGAGCATTGTAGCGGCAGAGACGGAAGGACAGCTTGTGACCGCCTCTCTCCTGCCGCACTTGGCACCGTGATGAGCAATCTTGGGGGCGCTGGAGGTTCCTTTTACTAAGACAGAGCTTATCCTTCTGATTGTCCCCAGAACTATTAGTGCAGTGGTTGTGGCTCTGACAGGTACAAGAAGTAGATTTCAATAATGCTGTAGTATTTCAAAGGTTTATTAAATACAGGAACGCAGCAGTGGTCATGACACCCAGTTGGGTTTTTTTTTCACTATATATACTTTTTAATTATTCAACCAGAATAATTCAGTAATTCAATTCAGAAGGCTGAATCTATGGAAAAACTGCCAGTTTTTCTCATTTTTTAATCGCTTTGTTAGAATCCTTTCCTGTGGTACAACGTGGAGAATGTTGTGGGATAACAGGGGCTTTATACATTTAATGATTTTAAAATAAAGGATGTCATCCAGAGGTCTTGCATTAATGTCTGTTTTTCTTTGTAATTGTCATAGCGTCGTCTTGGAGATGCCGCCAAGAAAGCCATCAGCAAACTGACCACCAGAACAGTAAAAAAGGGTGATAAGGTATAGTAGTGAAATAACTTTAACACTATAAAAATGATAAAGTAGTTTTGCTTTTGATTTGGTGGGAGAGAACACACCCTAATCATTTGTGTCTCGTTAGGTGATTCTTTTTCTCCAAGTATATGCTCTAATGCTTCATTTTAAACTAGCCTCCCTTTGAACTCTTACCCTTAGCATGCCTCATTTGGAGGCCTTCCCTAGAGTCTCTGACTTTCCTGGACTTCCAGGGCTCCTGCCATTATTAGCTGCACTGGTCTGCTTACAGTCCCTTAGCTGTGGTGTCCCACTCCAAAGCTTTCTCCCTTGCAGCCAAGGATGCCTTCGGGCAGAACCCTAATGGGTCAGTTGGTGCACTCGGTGGCCAGGAATATGTGTTCTCTTCCCTGTGCTTCCTTTGTGTTTTAGTCCCTCGCCAGTTCGCCAGAGAGCAGGAGACTCACGTCTCGAGAGAGTGTCATTCACAAGGTACTTTCTGTCCAGTGGGCCAGACAGTTGGAAGGAAGCTCCCAGTGTGTCTGGGTTGGGCCCTTGGCCTGCGGGGCCCAAGTGAGAAAGCCAGTGACTAAGGCTGTGGCTGAGACGGCTCATCAGAGCTCCCCGGTCGGGCCTCGCATTACGTGGAATCCGCTTCTGCTCCATAACGACAAAACAGCAGCTTGATGTTAGACCCTACATTCCATATATTCAGTTACGTAGAGGGCAAAAGTTGCACCTCTAAAGGCATAAACCCAAAGCTGTTTTCTACCCCACATCCAGCTCTCACATTTTGACAAGCAGCTCTGGGAGGGTAATTTCAGACAATTCTCCATCCTCTGTAGTTTCACCACTTCCTTGACTTCACCCGTTTTTATTCCCACCATCTTTTTTTTTTTAATTTTTTTTTAAGGTTTATTTATTTATTTATTTATTTGAGAGAGAGAGAATGAGAGAGAGCACATGAGAAGGGGGAGGGTCAGAGGGAGAAGCAGACTCCCTGCCGAGCAGGGAGCCCGATGCGGGACTCGATCCAGGGACTCCAGGATCATGACCTGAGCCGAAGGCAGTCGCTTAACCAACTGAGCCACCCAGGCGCCCCTATTCCCACCGTCTTGACACAGCTCTGGAAGGTGGAGACATTTTCAGCGAACTTCAGTGAACACTAAGCAAAGAAACAAGTAAAAACATTTGGAAAAAATAAAAGCAGCACAGGAAAGCTGTCCTATAGCCCCAGAGAAGTGGTCACCCTCTTGGCCTGGTGGCCTTCAGCTGCCACATTAATTGGGAATTCCCCAGAATTTTTACCCATCCTACGTTGTCCTTCAGGCTAACACCAAACAATCTTTCCTTATTCAAACCAACACCTCTTCCAAGTTTGTGCCTCCTGGACCTACCCAGAGTTGTCCCACTGAGTTTCAGTCCACGTGGCCATGACACAGCAGATAGTCTCCCCTTTCCTGGCTTAGGTTCCTGGTAATGCTCTATTTTATGACAACTCGGGGGAGTCCCTTCCCGGCACAGACGAGGAAGGAAGCCAGTTAACCTGGATGACCAAACACCTAGCTGACTCTTCCTGGCTCTTCATAAAGACCCAGTATTGAGTTGGGCCATGACTGTTCTCTACCCCAAACCTGTGACCAGCTCCCGTCACTGGGGCTTGGTCTTTTGGGGGCTCACCATCTTTTCTGCCTGTACTTAGATGAGTGATCAGAGGACGACCCACACTGTGGAGGGTTGCTGTGAAGCCCACTGAACCAGAACAGTGATGCCGCGGTGGTGGGAGGGGGAGGAGGGTGTCCACGGTGACCGTGGATTTGAATCTTGAAAAACAAGTAAGAATTCTGACTTCTAAGACCTTTCACAGATAGAATTAGTACTGTTACAGCATAGTTTAAAAACGAGGTAGAGTGGTTTCCATATCACTTGGGTCAATGCAGGTAAGCAAATGAAAACATATCAAAGCTCTTCATAACTGTTCACTTGGTAGTCGCTTGCTTACCGTACTTGCCACAGGAAGATGCCTAGCTGGATTGCCTCCTCCGTTTATGTATAGCTTCGGTTTGAGCACGTGACTCTCGTGCCTGTGCTTGCCTTGCAGGAAACAGACCCCGACTTCGATCACTGCGCAGTCTGCATCGAGAGCTACAAGCAGAACGATGTGGTGCGGATCCTCCCCTGCAAGTATGTCAGGCTCCTTTGTCTAAAAGAGAATGATGCTCCTGTGGTGTGTGTGTCTCCCCTTCAGAGGGGGGATCCCACTTGCCTTCGGGAGCTGCCTCACCCACGGCTCTGGCGGCAGGCGGAGGCGCGGTGGCCCGTTACCCATGGGGGGAGTGGCGGCTGGCACGAGCCCGCCTTGGCACAAACTGACTGCAGAGCCTCCTCTGCTTGTGAGAAACACGGGGAAAACCTGGGGGTACATCGTAGCCTAAGACCATTGCGGGCAGGAATGTTCAATTCTGTGAGAGGGCACGTGAAGGACGCTGGGGTCGCACGATCCAGAAATGGCAGAGTCGAAGTAAAGGTCCACATCTACTGCTCCTTGTATCGGGCTCCGCTCACCTGCGTGTGGTGCTCTAGAAAGAGCAAATGTTCTTTAGAAACATGCTGATTGGAAAAATACAGAATTGCCTACTGAGAAGCCTAAAAATCAAAGCCTTTTCCTCTTCTTTCTCCCCTCCCTTAAAACACATGCACACCACTCTGACCACCTAGTAACACAGAACACGTGAACAAATAAAATAACTGTCAGTGGTTGTCTCCCTGAGGCTACCAGTACCATTTTATTCCCAAAGTCATCTATTTTGAACCTAGAAAGACCTGTGAGGAGTTTTCTTTTTCTTTAATCATAGACCTAAGAATAATTCCATATGCTGAAACAGAAAACCAGATTCTAGAAGTCAAGTCAATCTAGTTTACATTTAAAGGAAAATCTACAAAACTAACAGGAAGCTGTCCTGTAGAAAATTGCGTAATTACCAGATTTCCTTCAGCTGCCGTCATTTATGGTTTAAAACATGAGGCTGAAGGAAATACACATCCAAACACAAACCAGGAAGATCAGTAGGTACATTATAAAGCATTATCCACCCCTAGCTGCTTTTTAAACATGTTTTCACCTGCACGATCTCCTCTGACACCAGAATCACCAGGAAGAAGCCAAGTCTTTCCAAATTCTGTCTTCTATTTCAGGCCAGGGTCCCCCCTCCAGAGGAACCATCTGGACCCAAGAACAAAGGCCTCTGAAACCATTCGTGGTTGTTGGTAACGAGAGAGTGTCTTCCTCAGGGGAGCCTCGGCCAAAAATAGACTACTCTGGAAGCTTGCCCCCGTCTTCCCCGCCCCCTGAGCATTGGCTATTCCAAAGTTTCATTCTCAGTTCTCTTTTTTTCTTAACTTAGTCCAGTGCTCTCCAAACCGGATGGTGTGTCGGAATCAGTGGGTGGCGTTCAGAAACACATCCCGGAGCCCGGGCATGTGGCTTTTAATAGTCACCTGAGCAGCACTGCAACGGCATGCCCCTCCGTCAGAGTCCTCGCGTTTCTGGGGCTGCACCTGTGTCCGCGGTCTGCTTTTGGATATTAGAATTTTGGCAAACTTAAGGACATTTCTCTGTGCCCACGGTTAGGGCATGGCGCCCTCGGTTGGTTGTGTTCCGTTGCCGGGTCCCTGTCTGACTCTATGTTAGAGTCCCCCTTCTGCTCTGGAGCAGGGTGCTGTGTGGTATGCATACACCTTAAGCCTCAGCAAGTTGTAGCTTTCGCTGAGGTGTGTCTCACACCCTGCTCAGCAAAACCGTTCACCTCACTGAAATGGTACCAACCGCCCGATTCTCAGATATAGTAAAAATTAACTTTGCCCTTTGAGCAACGTTCTGTGGGACCGGAATCGACAACTTTTCACCTAGAACAAGGTTTCTGAGCCTTGGTACTGTTGACGTTTAGGACCAGATAATCCTTTGTGGGGGCCAGGGGCGGGGCGGCCATCCTGGGCATCACAGGATCTTTAGCGGTGTCCCTGGCCGCACCCACTAGATGCCCATAGCAGCCCAGCCCCACACACAGTTGTGACGACCACTGACCTAGAGGATGGCCTCGCCCAGATCTCCATCTTCACTTCAGATCTTCCACACACCTCTTGTTTCCGGGGGACCCCCTCTAGGATACCCCCTTTGTTCCGATGTGTTCTTTCCACCTCGGCCTCCACGTGCCAATCCCATCCCGTCCCGTCCTCAGGGACCTTGCTCTGTTGACTCTCTGCTCCTGCCAGTTTTTGTTCCTTCTGTCTCTGACATTTCGTCATACTCAAGCCCGTCCTATGCCAGTTTCATAAGCCATCGCCAAACACCGCCCTGTGGCTCCTCCCTTCACAGCCAGACTTGGGGAAGGAGATGTGCTCGCTGTCCCTTCTTCACCTGAGTGAGGGACCAAGGAAAGCCCAGGTGTCTTTGTTTCTGTCCGTCCTTAACTTTGAACAAGCCTATCTAGAGACTGAACTGAGACTTTCTATCTATAGAGAGCAGCTCTCTATAGATTGCTGCCTTTTTGCTGCATGACCTTTCCTTTTCCTCTTCTGTCACATTAATTTACTATGGACAGATGGCACTTGGCATTGCTCGGGGCCTCCTCCTCGTGTCCTTTGATTACAGCTGATCATCCTTGGACATTAGCCAGCATGTCCTAGAAGCTATCACCTTATTTAGACCTCTTATTTAAAGCTCAGCCACAGCATTTTTTTTTTAGTAGTTAGAAATACTTTTCAGGGGGTGCCTGGGTGGCTCAGTCCATTAAGCGTCTGCCTTCAGCTCAGGTCATGATCTCAGGGTCCTGGGATCGAGCCCCGCGTCGGGCTCCCGGCTCAGCGGGGAGCCTGCTTCTCCCTCTCCCTCTGCTGCTCCCCCTGCTTGTGCTTTCTCTCTGTGTCAAATAAATGGATAAAATCTTTAAAAAAACAAAAAAAGTACTTTTCAGAAGTAGAGTGCCACTGTTCAGATCAACGTATGTCCAGGATGCCACTTTGGGAGCCTAAAAGGGGTCCATCCTGTGGCCGCTGCCGGAGGCGTCGCTGGGGTGCCCCCACCTCGAGGGAGGGCCTGTTCAAACAGCGTCTGCTGCCAGCCCAGCGACGGGGAAGAGTTCTCGTCTCTGACCTTTCGTAATTCTGGATCCTTTTATATTTGCCAGGTTCTTGCACGTCACCAAGAGGCTTCGGAGCTGTGAGAACAACTCCGCTTCAGTGTACCCTCCTGTCCCCACCCCTGGCCACCGCTCTGCTCTCTCTAGTTCGTGACGTGTGCGGGAAGGAGGAAAGGGGAGGGCGCCCTACTACCAGTTTCGTTCCACATTCTGTACCCTAGAGTACTTCTTGCAGGAATGAAGAACTTTTGTGTCGAAGTTCCGATCTGCTTGTCCTTTCCACGTTTCACTGGTCCTCAGCACATCATCTGCTTTCCATCCCAGTACACCACTCGGCCCTAAATTCGTCGGGCCCTTTTCTGCTTTCATGTGTGCTTTGATGACTCGAGTCTTTTGTAACCGTGGGAAGGGCTTCTCTTCAAGGTCTGGCTGGCCACACGTGCCGCCCACTGAGGTGTCTGTGGGGGCCCGGGGTACACCTGCAAGCTAGTCAGAGGTCACTGGTGCTGGGACTGCCGGCACCGGAGGCCTGCGCGCACATTCTGACCGTTTATTGGGATAGCGTGGGAAACGTTAACGTTACTTCGCCTGAGTGTGTGTTTAGTAGTACCTTACATCTGCGTGCTGCTGAGTGTTTTCTGAGTGTTCCACAACAGCTCGCCACTGGCTGCTCCAAGCAGCCTCACAGGGTAGCACGCGCCTTCCCCACTACTGCGCCTGGCAGCTTGCTGCTGACACAGCCGGGAGGCGGGCTGAGTCTGCAGCTGCAGAAAGTGTGTCTGGGAGGAAGGGGGTGGCCGCCGCCGAGCTTCGTGCACCAGTGATGCAAGAGGGTATGGGAATGGGTGAGGAGGACGGGAAGGCGCACAGGGTAGTTACCCACCAAGATCATAGCAGAAACCCCCAAGGAGGCTGGGGGGTCTGCATCAGAGGGCCCATAGGTGAACAAGGAAGCTGCCAGACTGTTTTCAGACGAGAGGGGCATGCATGGGAGCCAGGCCGACAACCTCCCCATCTTCCCCCCAGGTGAGCTGCAGGAACCGGGCTGTTGGGGAATCTGTCAAAGGAGGGAGGGGGCAGGTAGCCGACTGGGGTGGGGGTCAATAGTAGGAGAGCCATGGCGTCAACCCATAGTCAAAAGGAAAGGATTTTTTTTGTTTTAAGAAAAACTATTTTCGGGCGCCTGGGTGGCTCAGTTGGTTAAGCAGCTGCCTTCGGCTCAGGTCATGATCCTGGAGTCCCTGGATCGAGTCCCGCATCGGGCTTCCTGCTCGGCGGGGAGTCTGCTTCTCCCTCTGACCCTCCCAACCCTCCCCCCTCTCATGCTCTCTCTCTCTCAGTCTCTCTCTCAAATAAATAAATAAAATCTTAAAAAAAAAAAAAAAAGAAAAACTATTTTCTTCAGATTTTGAGCTAGCTAGGGAAGGGAGACATTCTTGGTTTGACCCTGGAGACCCAGTTAGTCTGTTGTCCATTACAGTACCACAAGGGGGGGTGGAGGGACACTGTCTTTCACATCAACAAACCTCTAAGGGAGCAGTTTAGAAGCCCAACATAGGAAAAATCCACCCTACGCTAACCAGACCCTCAGAGCTCTACGGGCCAGAGGTTAGGCAGACGCACCCTTGTAAGGGGGGGTGGGGATCCTGTCACTTAGTCAAAGTAAAGGGGTCCGCATCCCCAGAAAGATTTGAAGCCTTGTGCTAGTCTTGGCCAGACTATAGTGAGCACTGGCACAGTTGACTGCTGCTGGGGTGTAGACCCTGGCTCTGAAAGCGCCCGCCCAGTGGGGCCCTGTAGGCAGGAGCCCTTCCCCCGCCCCCCTTGAGCACTCTCCTACGAGGATAGAGGAACAAGAAGTGGACATGCCTTGTGTGTACTAAATGAATTTCGGGCTCACCTACGGTTTGGTGACTTTTGCCCCTTAAGTAAAAACCTGCAGGTTTAAATACAAGCCTTCCAGGATGAGGAGGTTCTAGTTCACTGCACTGATAAATTCAGTCTTCGAGATCTTTATTCTTACCCGAAGAAATGAGTGCAGGGTCACCAAGTGGCAGTAGGTAGGCGCATATGCATTGTTGAGGTTGAAGCTGTAAGCCTGTATGTTTCTTCCAAATCCCAGTTAAATCAGCGAGATGTTTAGACCTCCTACTTTCTTGGATCAAAACTGCATTTTTAAACAGCTGTATATAACTATTTATAAGCCACATGTAAATTATAAATTCATAAAGTTGCAAAGGCATACCATGTTTAAACTTGATCTCTTTCTTAAAATTTCTTTTATCAATAACCGAGACTCCAAGCATAGTTCCTCTGAGGTGCCCAGACTGTGTGTCCTGGCACCCACCTCTCTCCCTCTCTGGCCAGGACGCTGAGGCTTCATTTTTAGCTTCCACCACAGCCCCCTCAAAGTCTCTCCCTTCCACAAGGCACAGTTCCCTTTTCTAAGAATGCAAGACTCTCCATGACTGACTTCTTTTCTGTCGCAAGGATTCCACTCTCCTGAATAAAAAAAAAAAATCACCCATCCTCTCTCTCCCCCCTTCACATTTCCACTGAAAACTGTTGACTCAGTGTCACTTGATTCCTAGGTACCTTTCATCTCCAAAATACTCCCAACCACCCTGTAACTTTCACAAACATTTAACATAGATTACTTAGAAGTCTTTTTAAATAATGTTCTAAATGACATTGAAACCAAGTTCCGTGAAACCAATTCGTGGTTGTGCAGAAAACTCTTTTCATTCAACCCTTGCTTCGTATCTTCTTGAATTTCCCTTCTTCCTACTCTAGCTGTTGTAGAAAGCGTAACTGATTGATAAGGTGTAGTTTGTTTCCTGGGCATCTGCCTTAGGCTCAGGTCATGGTCCCAGAGTCTGAGTACTGCATTGGGCTCTCTGCTCAGTGGGGAGCCTGCTTCTCCCTCTCCCTCTGCCTGCCGCTCTGCCTACTTGTGTGAGCTCTCTCTCTCTCTTTGTTAAATAAATAAAATGTTTAATAAAAAAAAGGTATAGTTTGTTTCATTCTTAATAAATATCCTAAGTTTCTTCAAGTGCTGAAATAAAAAGACCGAACTGCCAAGTACCACTTATCAGTTCTCATCATACAGATTGGGGTCAGGAGGTTTTCTGCCAGCTATATTTTAACATCCCCAATATTTGTCTCTTGAAACTTGCCAGTATGTCCAAAAAGGGGGAGAAACAGGCTAACTAAAAATTCCATTTCTTTGGATCTAATAATTGTTCAGTATATGATCTGTGATACAATGCTCTGTGTGTTTTTTTTTTATAGGCATGTTTTCCACAAGTCCTGCGTGGATCCCTGGCTTAGTGAACATTGTACCTGTCCAATGTGCAAACTTAATATTTTGAAGGCCCTGGGAATTGTGGTATGTTTCCTATATGGTCACTACTTTTTGCGTGTGAGCTAGCATCGCAGAGGTGGGTGTTAAGTCTCCTGCGAGAGCATGGGCTTTCTCTGCCACATGGCCTTTCTTCCATATTCCTTAGAGTCCAGCCCGTCTTAGGGAACTCCCAGAAGAGAAGATAAAGAACTGAACTCGTCCACTCAGAAGTGTGCTTCCATTGGGTGGTGGAAATATGAAGAATGGCAGTGGAGAGAGGGACAGGGTTTGCTTTCGTTCCGGTATTATCTTTTTTTTTTTAAGGACTAGAAATACAGACTTTTTACTTTAGTCCAGTAGTAAATTTTTTCTGCATTCAGCATCTTATAAAACTGTGTCATCACTGTGTTCCTTTCTCTTGAACCTGGCTTAGCTCCCCAGGGCGTTGGTCAGCTGCAGGCAGTGAAGGTGGGCGGTACCAGCCTGCTGGGGCTTTGGTCCGAGGCCACACCGAGGACACAGTGCTTCATTCAGCTCTGGCCAGGCCGGTCAGCACTGACTGACCGAGGGCCTTGGAGACTTCCTACAGGTCTCCCTTAAGAGACCTACTGTCCAAAATTAACACCTCTTAGAGGAAAATAAAATACTTACTGATCTCAAGAAAGAGTGGATGAATGATTTCCTTGTGGAACCAGAAGTTTAATGTGTCCAGCAGATGAACTGCTCCTTTTAGCTTTGCAACCCAAAGCACGTCCAAGGCGTCCTATTTGAAATGTGTTGTCATCAGCTGACAAATGAGCGGTCCCAGGTGGCTCCTTCCAGCTCCGGAGATCACGTCAGTAACACAGCTGAACATAGGGTCACTCCACCTCAGCCCCACTGACACTGTGGACCAGATAATTCCACTGGGGTGGGGGCGGGGGGCCGTCTTGTGCCCTGTGGAGTGTCTCCCGCATCCTTGGCTGCTCCCAAAGGCTAGTAGCATGACTCATCAGATGCAAGGTCAGAATGTCTCCAGATGTTGCCACATGTCCCTTGGGGAACAGTCACCCCCACAGGAAGGGTTTACCATAGAGCGTCTGCCATGATGTCGGGCATGTGGCAGACGCTTCCGGAAGTATTACCTTGGCCTCTTCTGTTGCCTCAAGCCTTGGTGGTGCTTTGGTTTGTCTGTCTTCAGTCCAGTCTTGGAAGTGCAGACACTTCTCCCTTTTGTTTGTAAAGAACATCCTTCTAGAGTCTATTACAAGCTACCATGGTTTTAAATATAAAAACCACAGGGTGCCTGGGTGGCTCAGTTGGTTAAGCGACTGCCTTCGACTCAGGTCATGATCCTGGAGTCCCTGGATCGAGTCCCGCATCGGGCTCCCTGCTCGGCAGGGAGCCTGCTTCTGCCTCTGACCCTCCCCCCTCTCATGTGCTCTCTCTCTCTCATTCTCTCTGTCTCAAATAAATAAATAAATAAAAAATCTTTAAAAAAAAACAGTTGGTTAAATATAAAAACCACAGTAAAGCTCTTCTGACAGGGTATCGTTCTAAGCATCTTACTTCGGCTGTGGGGCGATCTAGAACAGTTCTCCCGCCGAGGAAGCCGTTGCTGTGGGTCGGGTTGGCTGTCACTTCTCCATACTTGTGCCTCTGCCCACCATCCTTCCCAGCTCTGCTTCCAGCACTCTGTCTGCCCGACCTGAAGGTTCTAGGGAAACCAGAAAACCGTCTTGTTACCACCCATTTTTTAGTTGGTAGACTTTGGCCTCAGAGCAGCTCTGTACCTCCTTCAGGGCTAGATGCTTAGATTTTGAAACCGATGGTTTACTCAAAGCTCAAAGGTCTTTTCAACGTCGATCTGCTCTTGGTCATGTGCTTTCCTTGTGTCTAAAGGTAGAAGACATTTAAAAACTGACTGCCAGCTAAATGGGGCATTTCAGAGAAGTTAATAGGAGGAACGCAGTATTTTATGTTCTCTGCTCTCCCTCAACATTAATGGAAGAGCCGGAGTGATGCATTTTCCTGTTTGTCAGCTTTAGAATAATGATAATGACTCCCTCTGCCCGTGATCTGTGTCCGCCAGAGGTGGTCGTTTCTTCATGAAGATGAAGTACCCAGTTTTCTCAGCTCTGCGATGGATTTTGGTTTTCTTTTGTATCATGTTTGGGAGGGAATCATCTTGTTTCTTTTAAAGGAAAACTGTTGGGTGAGAAAGGGTAAATGGGGAAAGAAATGAGAGGAAATCACATGGAAAAAAAACTTGAAGTCTTTTCAACAGGGTGTCAGACATTTAGAATTTTATCAGAGATCTGTTTTTCTTCTAATAAGTACTCTTAATCTGGAAATGTTTTGCAGCCAAATTTGCCATGTACTGATAACGTAGCGTTTGACATGGAAAGGCTCACCAGAACCCAGGCCGTTAACCGAAGATCAGCCCTCGGTGACCTCGCCAGTGACAACTCCCTTGGCCTCGAGCCACTTCGAACTTCGGGGATCTCGCCTCTTCCTCAGGATGGGGAGCTCACTCCCAGAACGGGAGAGATCAACATTGCAGTAACAAGTAAGTGGGGCCCTGTACCCAGGCGCAGGGCAGGTTTGCCGCTGTGCTTGGTGCGTGTTGACTGCTCCAGAGGGCAGTGGAGGTAGTCACCTGGGCCAGGGAGTTAGTCCGTCACGGAGGAAGCGACAGGTTCCTCTGTTAAAACAGGAATTTGGGGAGACAAAACTTTCCTGATAGTAAGGAGCTTGTGTATTTGTGTATAATAAGTAGGTCGTCTGACAAGTTGTCTCAGTAGCCGTGTAGACACCTGCTTTGATGGCCGCCTTGCAGACGGGCATTTTAAAGGGTCCCGCTGGGATGCGACGCGGGGCGTCGTGTTGTGTAACCAGCCGCGAGCACCAGGCTCCAGGCAGCTTAGCGGAAACCCAGGGCAGAATCTGAACACACTCCCTGGAGTTGCTCCCTCTGGGGAGACTCGAGACGCCCTGTTGCTGCTCACTTCACTTTACGGAGTCTGGGGTCTTGGCACTTCGTCTTTGGGGTCACTGGACGCGGGGCGGGAGAAAAGCCAAAGCGTGACGTGCCTTTGACAGCACTCTCGCTAGTCCGGGGCGTCTGGATGGGTGACGTGTTGCCGAGGAGAGCCGCGGTGCTCGGAGTGTGTCGACAGCCGCCCGAGGACGGTGTGCGTGCGGCCGGCGGCGTGTGTGTGGGCCTGTGGGCGGTCACCCTGTCACGAGCCAGCTGCCCCCTCAGCTCCATCCTCCACGTGGTCTCTCCATCTAACCGCCTCTCTCCAGCCTCCCTGTCACCTCTGCGGTGCTGCCTTGCCCACTGCGTGCTCTCGCTTGCCCTAGCTTCCAGCCCTCAGCCCGCGAGGCCGCGGCACGGAGAACACCGTCACAAAAGACTTCTCCTCCACGTAGTGAGGCTCGAGTGGGCTGTTCAGTTGAAGTACACACATTTTCCACCGACCAGAGATCGATCAGTAGTCGTCAGCAGTTTCCCAGGTTTTGTTCTATCATTTGTCTGAACTCAAGGAGACTTCATTCAGTTATAAAACAAGGAAGAGTATTCTTCGATGCAGTTTGACTCATTTCCTGCCACATCCCGGCGAGTTGTTTTAACAGCTTTTCATGTTTTCAGGTTTTAGGGTGTAGATTTTTTTAAATACTGATCCAGTAGCAATAAAGGAAACAGAGGTTATTTGTTTAGCAGTGACTTTTTGTCGGCTCTTCATTGATCGACATTTATTGAGCACCTACTACTACATTCAGTTCTGATCCCATTATAGTCTATGCAGAAACGTCCTTTCAAAATCTTACGTTTTGATGATTAAAAAAAAAAAGTCACTTCCTGTATCAAATGAGTCATCTTTAGTGGAATTGACACATGTTAATGAATAATTCGTGTGGTTAAATTAACCCAAAGCGACCTCTCCTTTTCCCTCACAGCCCTGTAGTGTCTCAGCAAGCACAGCACTTTCGCCCGGCATCCCCTGTGCAAGGCACTGTGCTAAGTACCCAGCGGGGTGGGCAGAGCTGACTGGGGCCGGCTGCTGCCGGAGTACCCCGGGGCCCACTGGGGATCGTCGCGGCAGTGCTTGCTTCTTTTTGGTTGCTAGTTTTTATAGCCGAAATGCCATACATCTGCGGATGCTCTGCTCAGAATGCAGAAACACACACATAACTGCAGTTCTAAACCTTAGTCTGCTTATCCCGTCTAAAGGTCTCGGAGAAGAAAAAAAATAAATAAAGAACGCCGGGTTAAGCTTCTTGATCCTGATGACCAGTCAGCTCTTAACTTTTTTTAAATGCCAGGGTACATTTTTCCTAACTTAAAATCTGTGCAGGGTAAAAATGGTGAATTTGGTATGGGTTCTGAAATGTTCATTTTTGACTTAAGACCTTAATAAATTCACTGTTCTCGTGAGGAATTTGTAATCCAGGAAGCAGTGGCGGCACTGTTACCGAAAAAGAAAGAGTTTGCTAAGCATTGTAATAATATGAATCAGGATGGCCAAGACATGCTCGTAGAACGAACTCATCGTCCTGGAATCCTGAAGAACAGTTCTCAACCTTCTGAAGATCACCACCTTTAAAACCCAATGAAAATATAATCACCTTTTTCTAGAAAAGTTCCTAGGCACACATAGTTTTGCGTATTTGTGGGATTCGTGGAAACCAGATTGAGAAACACTCATGTGACCCATGGCTTTTGCCGATTAAACATCTGGCATTCCAAGTATAAATGTCTTCCCGCCGCCTCACTGCAGATACAGAGGGGGCTTCGCCGTGTACCACTTGGTTAAAACAGCCCAAGGTAGCGTATACTCTGGGAAATATTTTCTAGGTAAGCCTTTCTAGGAAGCCAGGATTGGTTCACAGGTTATTTTTGAGGTTCTCAATAAATAGTGTTTTTGGAACGTTACCTTGACAGTTCAGACTTTGAAAAGAAGGGAAAATACTAACGAAGACATCCTGGATTGAGAGAGAGACTAACTGAAAACCCTAGAGTTCTGGGTACCAGAGCTTCTCAGCCCTCTGACGGGCCAGGTACCTGGTGAATTGCCTGCTTGACACGGCCGGAGCCGCTTCCCGCCGGTGGGGGTGTGAAGGGTAGTCCTTTCCAAGGGACACCAATCAGATGTCCGTTTTCCATAAAGACTGTAAGTAAACCCACGCCTAGGACAAAAGAAAGCAGACTGGAAGGCCAGCCTCCAGACTGTGCGGAGTGCCCGCGAGACCTTTGGGACCCCTGCTCCGTACTTACAAGTCTTCCTCTGAGAACGAGTGACACAACCGTGCAGAAGCGACAGAAGGAAGAAGGAAAGGTTATAGAAGTGTGGCAGGTCTGCTGTACTGTCATCTAAAGCAGTGATTTTAAAAGTCCCTGTCCACATGCAACTTGATAGACCTCTTCCTCCTGCGTGCTTTTTGGTGGCCACACTCCTCACAGACCTCAGGACCTTAACTGGAAGAGATGTCTGGGCCGCGCTTTCCTTTCTGCCTTGCAGCTCTCACCACTACTTCCACTAACCTTCTCCAGTTAGTAACTCTCTGGCAAACCTCCTCCTGCTTCACCTCCTTGGGCCAGCCTTGGCTTACACCTCCGTTGACGTCTGCTTCGTTGCATTTGAGGGAAGTGTTGACACCGAGTTGACTTAAGTCTTCTCCCCAGAGTGATTTGCTCCCTTTCCTTTGTCAACAGAAGAATGGTTTATTATTGCCAGTTTTGGCCTCCTCAGCGCCCTCACGCTCTGCTACATGATCGTCAGAGCCACGGCTAGCTTGAGTGCTAATGAGTAAGTAACCAGTTATTCTTGGATTGCATGTACCACATGACCCCAAGAAAACCTGTAGAGTACTTTTCATAAAGATGTGAAAATTGGCTTCCACCGGTTTCGTACTGATCCTGATGAGGTCATACCTAGCAAAGTAATGCATTTCGTGAACATGTATCTGTAGTCAGTACACAGATCGGGAGGTCACCTTGCTCAGCAACAACAGCTCCCTTGAGAAAAGATCTAGGGGCTTCCGTTAGCCGCGGGCTTAGAGTACAGCAGCCACGTGATGCAGACGCCAAGGGGCCCGTACAGTCACGGGATGTAAAGAAGGTCCGTGTCCTGATCGTTGGCAGGAATAGTCCCACTGTCCTGTGTGCCCACCAGACTTTACCCGGATTCTTACATATTTAGCTTTTGACGGAACACTGGCACCCTGGCCTGGGGTCAAGGGACAGTGACTTGGATGTGTAGCCTGCAAGAAAGAAGCAATCAGCAAGACCCGCTGTTTCCAGAGATTGGGAAGACTGTCAGGGACTGTTGGGAAAACAAAATAAGTATCATCTGTATTTCCATGGGGCAAAATGAGGACCAGAGGGCAGGGGACAGGAAGGCGAATTTCATCTCAGTGAAAGGAAGACCATCTGTCAGCGAGGCCCCCCCACCAGAGAGACGGTTTGCCGTGGGGAGAGTTCAGGACGAGGCGTGCAGGCGGACGCGTGCATTACCTCTCAGGGCTGCTGGAGGTCAGAGGTTTTCCAGGGTAGGCGAAACTGGGCTAGCTGGCTGCTGAGGTCCATTTTGATCCAGTGATTTCCCTGGAGTTGCCTTCCATAGGGCTAAGATACAGGAAGGGTTTTTGGTTTTGTTTTGTTTTAAATTTAGTGTGTTTACCATAAGGTGTTATTTAGTCCTTTCTTTTACCAGTATTCACGAAAACTCATTGGAGATAAAAGTGTCTCTAGGATGCAGCCCAGATATGGACCTAATGTGGCACAGGGGGAATTCACGTGCTCTCCACACACTTATGTCCTGGCATCTTAACAGATGAATAATAACCGGCCAAGCCCATGTAATTGATTTAATTGAACACTCATTGTCCAGCTGTGAAAACAAATGGGCAAGTAACCTCCAGTTACAGTGACGTGATTTTATCATCTCTAACCTGACCTGTTGGCTCGATACTTGTAAGAAGTGCCCGTGGGCACCCCTGGCCCCTAGCACACATTGGGAGGATGCCGGGGTCAGTTGGCATCCTTCAGCCTGCAGGGGAGTAGTCTCGGCTGCTCATCCAACAGGTCAACCCGGCTGATGCAGGTTGAGTTCAACATAACATAGTGTTCATTGCTCAGACCCTAGAATCAGACGTAACCTGGATTTGACTCTCTGTTCTTCCGTTTTCTGCTTGGGAGACCTGGGCAGCTATATTTCTCGGGAAGTTCATTTTAGTCATGCAGAAAGCAAGAATAATGGCAGGCATACATCATAGGTTGTACGAAGTAACATATAAAGGGCTTAGCACAGTGCCTGGTACATTATAAGTGCTCAATAAATGTTAGCTGAACAGTTCCACTGAGAATCTTCCAAAGTCCTGTGAACAAGGTGACCATCTATCTGCCTCTGTCATTTGACAAATGAATTTCATTTTCTTCCATGAAATAATACAGAATCACCGGAGCTCTGTGAGTCCTGTGATTCAGACCTCAGTTTGGAGGGAAATATTGATTTCACCTGCAGTCACCTCTTTCGCTTACTCTCAGAGTGACCCCATCAGACTAGATGATGGTGTAAGCCCACTCCTTAAACCTCACAAATGAGTGAAAGCCAATTACAGCGAATAGAGACACTCTGGGCACTTGTAGAGAACTGTTAAGTGATCTAATGGTCGTCTCGCTGCCACCCAGGATCTGCCAGATGCTCAGGTCATGCGGCAGGTGTTTTAGAGAAGGTTCAGTAGACATGTTACCTTTTAGAAATCAAAGTCCCTGGGCCATAATATTTCGGTTCCAAGCATAAATGCCTGCATGACTCAGCCTAAGCATTGATCTTAGATCCATGTCTTAGGCCAACCCTTCTCCCGTTAGCCTGTGTAGAGGGTTGATACAGCAGTTGTTCATCGAGATATTATTTCTGTGCCTTCAGTCAGAACTACTCTGAAGGACGATTTTCATGATCCCATGGAGAGAGAGAGGGAGAGAGGGTGTGTGTATGTGTCTGTGTGTGGACATACGGATGCATGAAAGAATGGTCACCAAAATATGAATGGTTATTGTCTTAATTTAGTAGCATTTTGGGTGATGTTTTTCTCTCCTATTGTGCTTTTATGTGTTGACTTTTTTATATAACATGAATTACTTAAGATTTTAAAGGCCATTTTAATTGTGGAGGATAAAAGAAAGTCACTCTTACTCAGTGTCTCCTTCCCAAGAATGTTGATGAAAAATCCCTAGGTGATTTTAATTCCAGAGAAAAGTCTATATTAGTAAATAAATCTATAATTATTCTTCATTAATGAATTCTTTAAAATCCATTTACCTCCCTTTTTGCCTTTACCAAAAACTTACAGCCAAAATGAGATTGCCTTTTCAGTCGAGTTGCTGTTTTAATTTTCTAGGTGACCTCATCCAAGTGTGAGATAGTCTATAGGAGTAGAATTCCATCTTCTCCCATGTGAGCGATTTATCTTGGAAGTTGCTAGTAAAATTCACCTCTCCACATATTACCTACTACCCTAGTTTGCTCTTCTGACAGCATTGCACTGAACTTGTGTATTGTGATTGCAGCAAGACCTTGACCCAGTCTGGTCACTGGTGAAAGCCTGTGGGCAAGAGGCAGCAGTGTGGGGCACGTGTAAGGGCAGGCACGGGGAGGCCAGGCACGTGCAGCGCTGCCCCACTGGGGGTCAGGGCACGGCCTCCTCCCTCACCACGCTCCGCACCTGCACCGTTCCCCAGGGCTTGACGCCGTTGTATGATCTGAAGTCACACCCCTTCTGGTGTGTCGAAATACTATTGAAATACTCAACCGTGACTGGCTGTGCTTTAATTTTTTAATACGGCGAACAAATCTAGTGAATGTTGAGGCTTGGTAGGTATAAACAGGATAGTAGGCAAGGAAGCAAATACATGCAAGGTAAATACATTTATCATCTTCTCATACCCCGTTTCTTAGTACTTAAGTAGGCAAGGTTAGTGAACTTCAGTTCCCAAAGGAGGTTTGCTGCTCTACTTCACTATTCAGAAAACCTCATTAGGGGCGCCTGGGTGGCTCAGTTGGTTAAGCAGCTGCCTTCAGCTCAGGTCATGATCCCCGCATCGGGCTCCCTGCTCGGCGGGGAGCCTGCTTCTCCCTCTCCCTCTGCCTGTCTCTCTGCCTACTTGTTCTCTCTCTCTATCTCTCTGTCAAATAAATAAATAAAATCTTTAAAAAAAAAAAA